CACACACACACACACACACCGAGTGCTTGATACGGTTTGACTACTCGCTGTAAATTGTTTTCTATGTCCTGTTATGTACTGTCATATCGTTTGATTGTCTGGTATTTTTGTTGTTGTTCTTCGTCCTTCGCTCTGGTGGTGTTATTGTTGTTTAGAGTGAGGGAGCGGAAGCAAGAAAGACGTGAGAAGTCGTCACGCTTGCCGAACAAATAAGGGTGACTGAGCCGTCATCTTCAAACAGGGGCAAAGGAAAAAGAGAGAGAGAAAAAAAGGAAGGGAAGCAAAAAAAAAAAAAGACTGCGGCCAGCGGGATTGATGCTACCGCGAGAGACGTGTGCCTCAACTGTGTCATTTGCATCGTGTCGCAGTTGTCCTCGTGGCACCGCGCGGCCCTCCACCACGACAATGGAGCTGCTGGAGGCATTTGCCCGCGCGGAAGAGCGCGTTGTGGCGGCGTGGACACGCATCGGCCTCGCAGAGGTTGACCGGCAGAGCAAGTGGGCCAGCTTTGTCGACGGGCGGCTCCACCCGTTCCTGCATGACTACGTACGCCTGCAGGAGGCGGAGGAAATGGCCATTGCGGCGGAGAACGATCAGCTGTTTCGCGAAATGTTCTTTGCGTCACTGCGACTGAGGGAACACCCGAAGTCGAAGGCGTTGGCACAGCTCGTGGACGCCGTGCTGGAGCAGGGATTCTTGCGCCCTTGCAACATCACCGCGGAGCAACAGCAAAAACCGCAAGAAAAGTCAGGATCAAGCGGCTGGGAAACAGAACCGGCCAGTGCCCTCCACGGGCGCAGTGAGGCGGCCTCCAGCCAAAGGGAGCAGCAACTGCAGCTTGAAGGTGACACGGAGGAGTTCGGAGGCTCGTTTGCGCTGCCCTCGTTTGTGGCGATGGCCGCGGCGAGGGGCGACGAGGCAGCCGGTTCTCGCAGCGCCTCTATAGCGTCCCGTGCACGTGAAGAGGGAAACAGCCACAACCCGTACGAGCAGAACAGCAGCGGCAACAACAATAACCGGAGTCCATCCCGTTCATCGCTGGAGGTGGTAGCGACAGCAGCACCAGCACCAGCAGCGGCGATGCAGGATGTGGCCTTGGCAGCCGTGTGGCAGCTTGCGCGGAGCATGACGCATCAGGAGCTCCGCCGTAACTTGGAGAGTGAGGTGAATCGCATGAACGCCCTCGCGGATGCCAGGCTTCAGCAGCTGTGTCTGCTGTACAAACAGCGTGCCCTCCTGCAACTCTCCCCGCACGACCAGGCGGTGCTACGTAGTAGGTACGCTGAGAAACTCCTGGTTGAGGAATTGTCGAAGCCGCAACACGACGCCCAGCAGCAACAGCAGAAGCAACAACTCTTGTCGTCTGTATCAGGACTAAGCAGCACGTGTGGCGGGATGGTCACGACGCCGGGTCCTTCGTCTGGCCGTACCACACCGCCGACAAACCGCCACAGCTGTCACTCTGCCGCGAAGGATGAACTAGACCTTCTCTCTGACGCCCTGCCGGAGCGGCTGCGCGCGACCTACGAGACCCTGCCGTTGTGTGGTGGCGGAGATGACACGTCCGCAATAGTGCGACAAGATGAAATCGCAGGACGTGGGACGATATTTGAGGTAAACTTGGATGACGTCACCCGCTTCGGGAGGCGGCAGGACCTGTCCCTTGCCCGCATTGATAAGGAGACACAAGACATATATGCGGAGATCATGGCGCAGAACATGCGCATGGCCTCTGAGGCGGACGAAGAGCTGCAGTGTGTGGAGGAGTTATGGGCTTTGATTGAGGGCTGTGCTCGAGAGAGGGGCGACGAAGAGCAAAATGAAGAGGCAGAGTGCACTAAAGACTATGGAGGAGTGCCGTCACGACGCGATTTTATGTGTCGTCTGGCGCAGCTGCGGCAGGAGTATGAGCAGCTAGACGCTGCAGCCGAGGAGAGCATTACTGCTTCGACTACTGGAAATGGAGAGGAGGCAATTTTCCGGATGACAGGCCCCAATGACGGCAGCAACAACAACAACCACAACGAAAGCTGCAACAGCGGCCTCACATCCCGACGGGCGACGTGCAGTTCGAGGTCTCGTGCGTTTTCGCACCCTCGTACCCTCGTCTCGGAGGGTGGTAGCGGTGTTGCTGCTGCTTGGAATACTGGTGGCACAGCAGCCCAACTGCCAGCCCCACTGGTCAAGCTTTTCACCGCTCGCTCCTACGCGCCGATTCTGTCCTATATTGTCACAATACGGGAGCGTCTGCAGCGCCTTGTGCTTCAGCGTCATGTGGAGGTTGCCCAGGCCATTACACAGAATCTCACTGAGATGTATCGTCTCTATTTTGACAAGACTCACGACACGGCTTACCGTGTGACACCCGATTACACCCGCTGGCTGCAGGAGAACGCCGATGCGGCGGCTGACAGCAGGTGTTGGTCCTCCGCAAATACTGGAGAAGGACTCTGGCAGCAGTTTCTGGCCAACTTCACGCCGCGCAACGGCAACGATAGCCTGCGGGAGCGCATCGCAGATGTGCAGTATATTGTGGGCCGCGCCAAGACTGAAGTGGAACTGCTGCATCAGCGTCTTTGGATACTTAGCGAAGTGGAGCCACTGCTTCAGCGTCGTTTGGAGATCATCGAGCAGCAGCGCGCCATTCAGGAGGGCAGTCGTGAACGTCTGCTCAGCAAAAAGGTCAACATGGCACGGCAATTACTCTTCGAGGAGAACGCACGGCGCGGATTCGCGCGGGAGCTGCCGAAACTGCACCAACAGATGGAGGAGTTGCTGCGCCAGTGGAATGGTACGTGCGGTGGTGAGAGTGGCGGCGGCGGCAGCACCAGACGGCTGGTCGTGCACGGTATCGACGTCGCCGATCTCGTGCGAGAGTTCCACGAGGACGCCGCACGCACGCAGCTCACACGGCGGCCTGTACGCTCGCTGAGCCGCTCCCCGCCGCCGTCGGTGTCGGTGTCGGTGTCAAAGGGCACCAGCAACTTCGTCACGCCGCAGAAAACACCAGGGGTCGCTCGCTCCCTCAGTCAGCACCGCGCTGTTGCGTCCTCTGCGTCACCGGCACCGCGCGCTGTTGGCGCCACCACACCCGCACGCGCCCCACTCACCGGTTCGCGTCTGCACTCCGCCAAGAAGAGCGCCAACCCCGCAAGCAGTATGAGCCCTGCGCCGGTGAAGCAGCGCACGGCG